ATTTGGATGCCTACCTAATAAAAATAGCATACAGCAGTATTTAACTTTGTTTTTATCTCCGTCTACCATAAATCTTATTTAGCACTGGTATTACATTTGCTTTATTGTAACTAAAACAAACCAAAGAAATTAAATCTCCTGTTCCACCTGTTAGAAAAGATACTCCTGAATTCATGAAGCTGCTGTCTCATTTCCTCCAAAGACAACAGGCATGAAACAATAATTCATGTATTGCAGTAACTCTGCTTTTATGCTTTTCATATGCTGCCTGCAGGCACCACTTTTCTTCCTGCATAGTGAATAGGAATAAAACTGGAACACAACACCAACAGATCTTGTTCTGTTTTCTATATCTATGCTTTCAGCTTCTACACTCCGGTTATTTGTTATAGCTCTTACAGCCCTGAGAAATGACAGACTCATAGATGCTCTGAACACAGCAGCCTTCCTCCCTTCAGGTTCACCTTCCTGGGGCGAAGGAAAGGATGACATCTTCCCTCTGCGTGTCAGAGGCCGAGATCAGTGGCTCATGGACAACTTCACAGCGAGGAAGTCAGAGGCAGGTGTTATTAGGAAGTCGAAAGGCAACAGTGGATGCAGATATCTAATTTTATTAGTATACTGTATCACTGTCCTGCATATCACTATTCTTCTTTCAGCAAAGAAGCAAAGTTCCCTCTATTAGAATCCATAAGCGATTCTCTATTCTGCTTTGCCTACTTCAGCATTGTGAACTAGTGGACAAAAGAAGATGCTTTCAACTCTGGGCTGCCATTCGGAAGTGAGGGAAATGTCCCACACATACTGAACAGTGCGTGGGCATCAAGAACTCAGAAAACAGCTAGCTTTCTGTATATCCTCAGAACTAAACATACCATTATCTGCTCAAAATCAAAGTTTCCAAGGAAACGAGAAGAGGATATCAGAAATGTAAATTTAAAAGAGCAAAAGCAAAACAAAAACAAAAGGTGTTTATTTTGTTGCAAATTTACATATACATACACACTGCTATTAAGTTGGAATTATGGTCCATGGGCTCACCATTTCATTCACATATTTACAATAATAGTTACTTGTATTGCCAAGATTCAGCCTCTATCATGCTAATAACCACCTATTCACAAAGCAGTTCATATTCTAAAAAGCTTATTTAAACAGACAACACAGAAAAAGAAGCATCATCCTCATGTTGACTGAACTGAAAAAAAAACAGAAAAAAAATTCTTAAAGTCACAGAGGAAATCCGCATCAGATTTGGGAACTGAATGCACTTCTCAGTATTTAGTTAATTCACGGCATGCAGTGAATGCAGTATGAATTGCATCCACTGTGGGCTCTCAGTTTGAAAACGGTTCCCCTAGAAATTTATAGCGTACCTGTAGTGTTATTGCCTACAATCTGTGATAAGAGCATGGTTTATTTTCAGCACCAGTGTCTGGTTTTGCGCTGTCTTTCAGAAAGCGACCTGGATACCTTGATTAATTTTGTTTTTCTGATGATCTTTTGTTAAGGCTTTGAAATAGGCCCCTAGGTCTGAATCTAATTTAAAACACATTATAAGGTTACCAAAACAAACAAACAAAGAAAAACCCTATCTCATTTCCAGATGGTCTTTACTTTGTGCTAGAGAGGTACAGTTCATCCTGCTTTGAGCATGAAATTAGACTAGACAACTTGCTAAGGTCCCTTCCAACGTGCACTGCCCCATGGTCTTATGGGATTTCTGTTCTCCCATAATGTTTTGATAAGTCTCTTATGATTTAATTTGCACGGAACATATTTTGTTTTAATGGCTTCCCTCAGACCAACAAAAGGGCAATGGCCTTGTGATCTATAAGATCTTGCCCAATCCTTACTGCTGGCAATAAATTTAATCTATTAAGGGGGAAGTACATGTTATTTTCCTTGGATAAAAGGGCATGATTAAGAAAAACCACCACGGACATGGAGGAATAGACACTCGATGTCTAAAGCTCACAATAAAAGAATGCAAATGCA